CTTCAATCAGAAATTAACCAGATTATTTGGCGACTCATTTAAAACTTACCGTATTCGACACTAACCATGTTGTTAAACAATGTTAATTAAACTAGGAAAATAATTATCGAACAAGTGTTGTTAGCTTATCGATTACCTGTAATTGATTACTTTTCAAAAGTGATTAATTGTACTACTAGATACAATTTGTAATTGTTTCTCGCGTAAATAAATTATTAGAAACTTTAAATTTAATTACTAAGCTTCTACATTCATTCAAAAAATGACTGTATGTTTGAATACAATATTGGACAGAGTATATACAAACTTCCTTCAGCAATTAACAGACCAAGGTTCACCCACTCTGCTTAATTATCTAAAGTATCTTTGGGTATAGACGAATGCCGTATTTAAAACAGTTATCCCTGCAGAACTATTAGATTTCCCAGAAGTTTGCTTCATACGTTACCTATTTTACAAGCACAGCATAATTACAAAGTTATTTCATTTTAATTTTGTTCTGTTATATATTCTTATCTATGTGCTGTATTTTTTTGAGACACTTGTATATTTGGGATGTATTAGCCAATATCCTTCTTAGCTGGCTCGGAACGTCCTTTTCCAACTTTCCTCGTATTTTTGCTGTCAAATTTAATAAATATTGTGGCGCTTTTTCTTCACGAATAAGAAAAGATCATGAAAAACTAAATCGTGAGTAGATAATTAACCGAACAACACATGAAATTATGTCCCATATTCCTCACCTTCTTTTAAAAATTGCATGCATGGTAAGAAAATTTTTCATAAATGTACACTCCCACGTTTTCATTAATATAATGTCTTCCGGGTTTGCTACAGCTTCATAATGTAACATGACGTTTCGTCTGCCTTACGGCGCTCTTCTTCGGAAGTAAAGTAGAACAGTTTTGTTCTTAGCACGTTATGAAAAATACATCTAGCCATGATGTGACACTTACAGTTGAAAAACATGACGTTCCTTAATGCATAATAATAACTATGGAAACAAGAAAAAGTTTGTTCTTATTATAGATTAGTGTGGTCATCGACTACATGAAACAGTTGTTCGAGCGACAATTTTTGATTTATTGACATAATTATTCCAAATATATTGTTAATTAATTCGTTTTCCTGTATGACTGGTTCGACGGAACGTGTAAAAAATGTTGTAGAATTTTTGTTGTGATAGCCAAGTGTCTTATGGTATGTCCGTCTACCTTGATAATGAAGTTTTGTATCATAGGAACACGCATTCTGTAAAATATGCAATTTAATTTTAACGCCGTTCTGACTCACAGACTCAAGCAAAAGTTTATAAAAAATTAACCAATCATATGTAGCTACGCATTAATTAAATTGTTTGTATTTGTAACGATCAGTGTAACCTAAAATTCCTCAAATTGCTTTATTTTTAATTATGTTTCATTTCCTTCTAATTTAGGCGGCTTGCACTTTTCTCGTCAGTCTCTTGTTCTTTTTTGTTTGAGAAGTTCCCATCATGGTTGGCAAAGCGCGTTAACGGTTTTTTTTAATTTATCGACACCACAGGGGTGCGTAGGCAGATTAAAATTTTGTTTCAAAAATCGCCACCCTACATCGTAGAAAATTACGCATATTTCTAAAGTTTTTGAGGAAATGTTTTGTGGTGTTGTATTTGAAAATCAAATGAAAATTGCGATCCTTTGAAATAGTTATTGGGTAAAATAATTAATAAGTATGTAATATATAGTGTAATAAATATACCTACATATTTCTTTTTTACTTCCTGATCGAAAATTAAAGAAGTATAGTAATCGAATCCTTTGGCCGAATTGTCACTTTCATATTTTCTCGACGGGTCATGACCTCCAGAGTATGAAAAAAGTTTCCGTCTGTCTGTCGGTCTGTCTGTCTGCATCCATTTTTATTAGAAAAGTAATCTCCGAAACTACTGGACCGATCGTTGTCACATTTTGTATGCCTATGCATATTAAGAATATCATGTAGATGGTTGAACGCTAGCTAAAATTTGGATAATCATCCCCACCATCAATGGGATGACGTCATCTCCAAAATTTATAATAAATAGTTTTTTTTTAAATTATGTAAAATAAGATACTCCTGCACTTGTGGTGTGTGAATCCATGTCGAATTTTCACCCTAGACATCGAAAATTCAAAACTGAGTAACAATATTTTGCAATAAAACTTTGAAACCGATTTCTCTTAAATCTGGTAAATATTTTAAGCTTATCGTAATCATGGTAAATCGTTACACAAAATGTATTCGTTTACCTCCTCCCAAAAAAACTGATGACATCATCTCAAAATTTTGCCGAATAAATCCTATCCAAAATTTGCAAAATATGATGAGTCTATACTTTTCATGACATTAAAAGTTTTCGAATTTCTTATACAGGGTGTCTCAAAAAAATTAATGAATTAGTCAATTTATTTTATTGATAAAATCAGAAACGGCTCACTCCGTTTTACCGAAAATTTGGGAATACAATACTACTATCATTAGTATTACACTGCACCTATCCAAAGTGATATACGTGTCTTTGCAAAAATGAGTTTCCCTTGATCACAAAATTTTGATGAAGGGAAACTCATTTGCATGCTTCTTTACATTTTTTTTAACATCACATACTTATCTTTATTTTAACTTACATATAAGGGTTCTCATAAAAAAAAAAATAAAATTCACATAATCAAATTTTAGAATTTTTCGAAAAACTTGGATTTGTTTTATAATATTTCAGGAGCGAGGGAAGTTCTGTCGAAATAACTTTGGACCAATTTTTTATTATTGTGATCTTAAAATCGGAAGTCGAACTTTTACAAAATATTGTCAAAAATTTCAAACAGTTGTGTTATTTCTAGCTCCCAAAAGGTCTTTAAAGTACAAACTAGATAAGATAAAAAATCTCAAAATAATGATCCGTGGTGATAACAAAGATAATACACTTTCTGAAGAATTTTTTTTTTCACATTAATTTGTTTCTAATTTTCCAATTTATACATTTTCGCTCAGTTATGCAGACAATTAAATGAAGTTGTAGAGAATTTGCGATCCACATTACCTACGTATGTTTTTCAAATATTGATTCCCATTAAATTTCAGATGTGAAGTTAACTTTTCATAATATATAATCGTAGTTGACCTCGTTTTACGCTTTAGAACCATAGTTTATTTTCGAAATTCTGATACGATATTGTAATGTTTATCCAATTTTCTTGAATTTTTTTAGAAATGAAAAAATTCACAAAAAATGACAACAGGGTTATTTTTAAAATCTGAGTTATAATATTTTGTGGAGAAATAAATAAAAAGACGCGCTTTATGCAGTATATAAATAAAACTGGGGTTTTAATGTACAAAGTGCTTGTAAAAATGTTTAATTATAACAATTTTCAAATATTTCAGTTTTTTCAAATAGATCATCCTAATTACAGGAGAAAATATATTTTATTGCAGCATCTTATTCTATTTCTTTGTTCTCTTTCACTTTTGTAAAGCATTTTTTTTTCGATGTGTACCTATTTAAATTTGGTAATTATTGGAATTTTTTCCACATCGATATATTGAAAGAAAGAGAACAAAAAATAAAGTAAAATGCACTAATAAAATATAGGTGTTGTATCTGAAAAACTGAAATGTCAATATTTGAAAATTGCAGAGTTTATTTTTATTTTATAAAGGCTGGGTATAATAAGAAAAATTTAATTAAAACTATAACACACTGGGCACCTCTGTTTATCTCTCCATAAAATATTGCAACACAGATCTTAAAAACAAAGTCATTGCGATTTTTTTTTTTGCATTACTAAAAAATTCAAAAACATTGGAATAACATGGCAACGTCGCATGGGTATTTCAGGGGCCAATAAGAATATGTAAAAATATATAGGGTATTCTGTTAACAAAAAATAAGTTGAATACCTACTTGGTCTTGAAAACAAAACACTCTGTATAGTTGAAAATAATTTTGGTGGATACTACTTAAAAACCCGTACAACTTTGGTCTCTAACTTGTTTTCTATTTCTAATGCGAAATCGAAAACCGCGCACTTAGTGACTCACCCTGTATATTCAAAATTTTAAAACTATCGGAATAAAAAAATACGGTGCGGTTCCCGAAATAACAGTGATGAAGAAATATGGAACCATTATTCCGTATAACTATAGATCTAGCTATTGCTGATTTTATTTATTTATCCAAAATTCCAAGATTTTACTATATTTTGAAGAAATAATTTTTCATCGGTATGGATTGTACACCGCACCATGAACGTTGTTTTTTTTTTGTAGTTTTTTTTTTTTAATTTACGTCGTATCATTTGGTTTCTGAGGGAACAATTGCAAAAAAGAGGAATGTATGACATACTTTTGATGACAAAAAATGATAATGTCCTCATTATTGTTCCTTTATCATGATGTTTCTAGTGAGACCGTGGTAAAAATCGATAACTATTAAAAATAAAAAAAAGAGAAGCACAAAAATAGGTGTGGAAAGCACGGAAAAATTGTTTTGTTTTTTTAATCCTTGTTATTTTTGTAAAAATACAGTGGATTACGTGTACGAAAATTTGATTAGACACGGTGGTAAGGTGCGCGGAAGAAAAAAATAAAAAAGAAAATGTCGGTGGCGCCGTGTCAAGATGGGATAAATTGGGCGAGTTGGTCTCGGATAATTGTATCCGTAGCATAAAGATGGAGCACACAATAATAAAGCGTCTAACCAGTTTCTGATATATGTTCTGGTGTAGATATTGTAAAGGAGGATAGGATAGCTACCCGAGCCGTCTCGGCGAGATGGGTAAAGTAAGATAGCGTTTGAATGCAGAGTTTGAAGCAGCAGCGATAGGACAGGCAGCACATGACGAGGGGTGCAATACATGTCCCACTATGCCCGTTCGAGGGGTATCGTCACCTACACGGTGCGTCCACCTTGACACCCCCCCAAAGGCCTCGGCTCCTCCCCGTTTGCGCACGCAAACTTATCCCCACTTTTGTTACAGCACTGGACAAGTTGGGAACGCGACATCTCTTCAGTAACAGTGCCCCCGAACCGGTGCAAGTTTACGCCGCGTTTGACATCGCTAGTTTAGTCCTTTACGGATGTCAAGCTCTCCCGATTCGTCTTAAAATACTTCTGGATAGAGTGTTTTCTGTGCTGCGCAAAGAGCAAGTGCTTCAAGTGTTGCATGGATTTGGCTGGACCGCGGAAGATTACGCTAGAGGATATATACTGCAGGTATTTCGTACTCGTTAATTACTTTCATTATCACCTAAGCTTGGCATTTCACACTTTTCGATCGGCCCGAGACGGCCGATTCGCGTAGGGCACCCCGAAACGCCCACTGAAGTGCGACGACTGTGACGAGAACAAGTGCCAAAATTTCGGCGAGATGACAGTGAGTGCAAAGTGTCACCAAGTGAGTTTTGACAAAGGAGCAAAATGGACCGTGAAATTTGGGCAACGTTTTACCCACGAACAAACCCAATGGTCGTAAAAATGTAGTGTCGATAAAGGCGGACGATTGTCATTCGGTCCGGACTCAATTAAGTCCACTGACAGTGTGAAATGGGATATAATAGTGACTTTTCGGTATGTGCTTCGTAAAACCAATTGTAGTCGTCAGTATTGAAAACGCGTTGACGATCAAAATCGATACAAAAACGATGATTGACACACGTTCTCAAATGCTTATTAGCGTCCCTTGTATAACCCAATGTCATATTCTAACAAAAAAAAGTTGCCGTCGAAAATTGGATTTTTTTGCTTATCATGACACCAAATTGGGTTCTGGGTTCTGCCGACGTTCGCTTGTTTCCCGACTGTCTTTACTGCACACCTTTGCTTCTGCCGACGCTCGCTAGACGGTCTCCTCGGTCTTTTAATTGCCGCTCACCGATTCGATTTCGGACTCTCAAACCTTTTTTATCAATCAACCCGTGATTAAACCGAGGCCTAAAACGCATAGTAAAGCAATTTCTTGGCACGAATGCGTTTGGGTCTTATTAAAATTTAAAATTTCACGAGCCGCGCTACCGACGTTCGTGCAACGCGAAGAATCACAGACACTCAAATTATACAGTATTTTGCATATCATTTTTGCGAGACGCAATCATTTTTACCTAGCTATAATTTCGAAAATGGCCATTTTCGGTCCTCTTTTTGCCGGATACCCTCCGTACTCTAATGTCCGATCCCGTATTTAATAATACATTCTCTTAAGTAATAACTGGGTTATGATTAAATGCCCATTTGGATCTCTATAATCAACCTTACGCTGACTTGTCTATTTTTAAATGCACTGTTTACATCTTTCGTGGCTTTCCAAAGTTTTCCTGTCGTCATTTACGCTCGTTTTAGACGAGATTTTGTCCCATTTTGACACAACACTCTCTAATTATTATTTCCCCACCGCCTCACCGCAAACAAAAATTAGCGACAACGCACAAATTTAATTTCCACCTCTAATTACATCTCACTCTTTTTACACTTAGAAACAGGGTGTGCAATGCGACGACAACGCCAACGATGCATTAGCACCTCGCTCCTGTCACCAAATATCGTCATTTTTCGATCATAACAATGCTCTATACCTATACATTACACGTCATTTAATTTAAATAAACAAACAATAAAATGCAACATGTGCCTCAGTTTCATTACATCATACAAATAATTTTGATTAGGAAAGCAACGGTAATCAAACAAAAAAAATGTAAAAATTAAATTTCTCCTTTAAAAACGATCATATGTATATTTATGTAACTTCATTTACATAATTATATAAGTTAATTAACAACAATGTAATTTATATTACTTATATCTGTTTACGATTGTTTATTAATCGCACTACAAACTTTACGCCTATTGTCGAAGTATTGCATTCACAATAACATCCCTGATGCACATAGATATAAATTATACGCGTATTAGCATATTCGTATAAAATCGGTTATACGCTGCCACATTAACTCGTAACGCCCACGCATATTTTACTAATAGGTACATTTCTTTGCGTTTTTGCCGTTACAACTCGAGATCAAAACTAACAATCGTTAAGAAAAAAAAACGTAAACATATAGAATCATGGAGAGTATTAAGAAATGGAACTGTCTAAGATTCTAGCGGGCTTTGACTTTAATCACTATTGTCTTAAATTAACAACGGTTGTGTTTGTTGATTTTCGTGTCAAGTTCAAAATGCAAATAAAACCAGAGTTTGCATTCCGTGTGTTTGTTGTGATTCATGACTAGACAACAAAGGAAGAATTGTAGATATTAATATAACTACCTATATAATTTCAAAAACTGTTCCGAAAAATCCATACATTTTTGACGAATTTTCAGATTCGAAATAATCCCGTTTCGATGCGCATGCGCTTCTTATAATCAAAAGTCGTGACATTTTTGACAACTTTCGAACTGTCGATTACTCTAAATAAACTTAGTTCCGATAATTACAGAGAATGTTTGCGAATTTTGCTCAATTAACCAAGTGGGACGACCGACAACGAATCGAAGATTTGAGAACGCTTTTAATTGAGTTTTTAAAATATGTAATTTTGATATTTCGCCTAATTAAGTACGGCAACGGTGATTACCATTGTTAACGCCGACAACATCTGTTCCGATTTAGAAAACATCAAAGCACTTCATTTGCGATTCCAAATCTGGTCAGTGACATCAAAATTCGCATCTGACAAGGGTCTTTAAAGCCCCCGTTAACAATTTTGACAAATTTGCCGGCCCCGTTATTACAACAAAAATGCCATTTTGTTACGGTATTCTTCGCGGCGCGCTTCCATTGAGCGACGGTCAACTTATAGTCTATCTTTATACTGCCGGCTAGAACTATTTCGATTTAAAGCAAATTGTAGCGTCCTCTTGTGTCAAAACCGCGTGTTTGTTTGCAGTAGATTGAACTTGAGAGGGGCAGGTGACTATCACCCCGTTTATTTATAAACGCGCGGGAGACATTCTGCAGGCTTCCTTTCTAAACAAGAATGCTATCGAAGCTCGATATTTTTATACATCGCCTTCATAAAATATACATTTCGTGTCTGTTCCTCTTGCAACTGCTGCATTCGCACGAGCCAAAACAAATCCGATCAATTTGCACTTATTGCTTTCATTTCCAGAGACCAAACAATGGCAGACGTCACGACCCGGCTGCCATGTCGCCGTTAATCGCTGAAAAATCAAAAACGACCACAGAGAAATCTTACGATTTTAAATTGAGTCGAACAAAAGTGATTTGGCTATTTTTGACACTCGGGGAACTTTATGACCAACATGGTTGTTGATTTTTAATCGAACGACGACAATTTTGACTACGGAGTTTCTACTTACTTTGACAAGAATGGCGATAACATTGACAATATTCCGGTAAACTGTCAAAATATGCATATCGTCAATGTTCTGCACAATTCATCACTGTGTTACGTCAATACTCTAATGATCCTGTCGTCGTGGCCTCCATGCATTTTATACGTGCCACACCCTGTCGATATTACTAATAAATAAATAATAAATATTGACGTTGGGATTAATGATGTGACAATATTTGTGACCAACTATGTAACCATCACACTAAAATATCAAAAATTTCTATTTATATACATAGAGCTACATCATAATATAATAATGTATGCCATTACACCATATTCTTTATTTTACAACTTGTTCAAATTTTGACAAACGTCATTGACTTTTCTTGATTTAAATTATTGCCCAAGGGGTTTGGGAAAAAATTCTATCAACTTCAACTTTTGGCACAGGTCTGTAGACATTGCGTGCCAAAATAATTTCATAAATCTCAAATCAAGTGGCGCATTTTAGTTCCTTGCAAATATTTTGAAAAACCAAAGAGTGGCCAACAAAAAATTATAAAACTCAACTTGTCTTAAGTTGTTTTTATACAATATTTTGTGTTCAAAAATGTCAGGAAACATGTTTCGTATACCCGCAACGCGAAAAAATTTAACAAAAATTCTGACGCGTTTCGCCAACTTAGTATTTTTCTGTCTGGGAAAATGTCAATATAATTTGCAAAACATGCCGAGGCCTAGATATTTTTTCAGTGTCGCGAGTGTGCTGAACGTGTTTTTAATATAAAAAAATAAACATTTTCTATATTTATAGAATGCAAATTGTTTTATAGATCCTATTCATTTCAAAATAAAGCGGAGATTTTACCACGCGATGAAAGACAACCTCATGTGTCAAATATTGACTTACGTTGTGACGCCTTCTGAAGTGGAGGCAACCTTCTGTGATATAATATTTACAATGTTGTTTGTGGAGATCTGTTTAATAGTAATCTTGATTAACACATTTTTTTCACTTTCTGTTTTGTACTACAAAGAGTTTTTGGTAAAAAGTAAATTTAACTAGACTTTTTGAAAACTTTTAAATTTTGCAAATAAATATTTCGAATTTTCTTTTCCGTTTATGAGGGTGGTCACCACCTCAAAGTTCTTATATGTCAAACGTAGTGGCTCAAATTTGGTACAAATTCTATATTGCCATATTTTCTATTTCTAGTCCATTTTAATAATAACCGAAAAATGTTGAAAATATTTGCAAAAAATGTGTTTTTCTCTTCATGTATCTCAGAAGAATTGGTGTGCTTCTTGAATCTTGACCGATTGAAGAAATACTCTCAACAGATGATCAATGTCTAGTGAACATTACTAATAAAATACCAACGAACTAATAATTAAATTATTACATTCGCTGTACTTGGCTTATGTCATAAACTGATTAATATTCGAGTATGCGACATCAACTTTGTGTTGTCGATATTGTTGATATCTTGTAAAAGCCTTGAGTTGTATGTTTATTATAAATATAAAGTAAAGCGAGACATCAGAAAGTAGTACTGTGACTATTATTATTATTGCTCGCTATAGAATAACGTAAGAATTTATCTACATTATCGGCAGGCAATACGTTATAATCCATATAAAACCGTTTTTTCTATACATTCTTTAACTTTTATTTTAACGATTTTGTTATTTGAACAAATCAACAAAGAAAAAAAATTGCCAATCTCGAGCTAATGTAGCATCAGGTTATTGAAATAAAATCTTACAATTTTTTGCTTTCCTACTAGGAAAGTGCGTGCCTATGTGTCCATAATTCTTACAGTGTAATAAACTGGTCTCTATTCTTCAAAGACGTGTCATTATTAAATTGTATGTCGATATTATTGATAGCCTGCGAAGCTTTAATATGTGTATGATAATAGTAGGTAAAAAAATATGAACCGTCATAAACACAACACGGAAATTTGAAATGTAGTTTCATAATTTTCATAACGATGTTTGTTCTCGGTACTGTATTTTTTTTTGGTTTTGGTTCCAAAAATAATTACAATAAGTCATTTTTGGTTATAGTCTTAAAACATAATTTTTTAATACATTCAGTTTTTTCATAAATCTAATATTTTTAGTCGATGCAAATTTATAGACCTAAAAAATATCAACTTTCATCTTCTTAAATGACCGGAATTTATGTGTCCGATGTTTGTGTTCCTAGTGAGGCATAATTTTGTCAGTATTCTCCACAGGTCGTCAACGTTATGCAGAGATTATAATTATTGTTATTATTGTATTATTACTTCACAGTTGAAATTTTGTTTCTTCTTTATTAATTTTGTAAAATATATATCTATATATACTATTTTCTTCGTTTGTCTGTGTTATTCATTTTTTGTATGTACTGTCTGCGGCTTGGGCGGCGAACTAACGGCCTCGGTTGTTGCAGGAGTCACACGGCGGCACTCTGGACCGATGGAGCATCTGCAGTCCTGAGGAGGAGCCTCTGGTCCTCCAACAGTTCCTTAGGTTTGGAGAGACGCGAGCCATAACGCAACAATTGCTTCTGGCGCAGCAGGCACTTCAGGATCCCACACTGGAGCGCCTAGAACGCCGCCACTCGCCAAGCCTCCGTCGGGCGATGTCACCTAATCATCGCCCGTCACCGCAAGCTGTTCCACACTCCGCTTTTCACCCGTCTCGCCTACCCACGATGTCTCCCCACCAAAAACATCCCTTAAATTTTTTAAAGATGCCTACCTCAAACGGACCTCTCCCAACCGGGTCTCCTCCAAGAAGCGTCAGTACTAGTCCATTGAACACGTCACCTCTGAACCGCCTCCAGAACATGCAACCTTTCGATTTCCGCAAGTTGGGCAGCGGCTTGAGCAACTTCCCGAATCGCGTGAGTCCAGATCTCAACAGGAGGAGGACGTTGGAGAGTGAGACGGTGGGGCTCAATCTCACGATGGCCACTTCGCTGTCCTCGTGCTTGCCGCCGCCACCGCCGCGACCACCCTCGCTGAGCCACTCGGCGGCGGCGATGGCCGCCGCGGTCTCGGCGAACTCCCTCGCGGCGGCGAGTCTGGTGGCGTCGACTTTCCCCGGGCTCATGTCCTCGAGGATGTCGTCGCGGAGCAAGTCTCCCAGTGCAGAAGTTCTCAGTGGCAATAACAATAGTGAAGAAGACGACGACGTCGACGAAAACTCTCATAGTGCACTTAACCTAAGCCGCGATAGAGATATACTGAAAGCCCCACGACAACCACGAGCGATACCGGGTAGAAAACCGACCACACCTACCAAAAGACAGTGGGGTTCTCCGGGCTTGCCCTTGAATCTAGGAACTCAGTTTATCAACCCCGCTACGGGGAAGAAGAGAGTGCAATGTAACGTATGTTTAAAGACGTTTTGCGACAAAGGTGCTCTTAAAATCCACTTCTCGGCGGTGCACTTACGCGAAATGCACAAATGCACGGTCGAAGGTTGTAACATGATGTTCAGTTCGAGACGATCGAGGAATCGTCATAGTGCTAATCCAAATCCAAAACTACATTCGCCACATCTACGCAGAAAAATATCGCCTCACGATGGCAGAAGTGCTCAAGCGCATCCTCTACTGATACCTCCGCAAACCGGTTTGTCGTTACCGGCTGCTGCAGCGGCTCTCAATCCGCTCAACCCGTTCGGTCCGTTTCCCCTACTTACGCCACCGCCAGACATTAGGCACCACACAGCCTTGAGTTCCATGGACTTCAAGCAAACGTTAGATCTTAGCATGCAGCGATTAGAAGAGAAGAAAACTTCGTCGGTTAAAGATTACAGCGTCCTGTCACTTGCGGGTAGTACCCATCAGCAATCCGAAGAAGAAGAAGAGGAAGACGATGACGGCATAGTCGTCGTAGGCGGCGACGAAGAAGAAGAACCTGAGAAAAGCGAGGTTACAAACGGCGTTATTTCCGATCAACCAGAAGATTTCAGCATGCCTTCGAAAAGGCCGAAGATGTCAGTGTCCGACGTCGAAGAAGACATGACCAGTAACTTAGACAGTAACGAAGATTCCTTGAGTATCGTCGATACTCACAGTCTGAAAGACGAACTCAATGTACAAACTAACAAAAGAAAGCGTAAGAGTCAGAACCCTACAAGATGCGCAGTACCTGCTATGATGGACGACGCCGTGAGCGACGGCGATTCATCCAACGACGTATTTTCCGAATCGATAAACGAAAAACATGATAAACAACAGGCGGACGAAGACAAGCGGCCGCAAAGTAGTCTTGAATTTAAAAAAGAAGAAGAGAAGGAGCGATGCGAGTCGCCCTTGAATTTAGAGAAAAGGTGCCCCGACGTGAACGCCAACGAGCCCGAGAAAGTCGTTAGTCCGGAAATAAAGAAAAGTCTGGCCCCACTGTTCATGATCGATAAACTAAAGAAAGAAAAACCCTTGCAAGAAACGGAACCGACCGAAGAGAACGAAGAAAGGCCAGCGAGTTCCGTCGAAAGTAACAAGAGCGACGAATCTTTCGACTCTTCGAATGCTCTGAGGCACCTGGAGAGCCTTTCGCATGGGCATTTTGGAGATTTGATGGCGAAAGGGCTCCATCTGGGACTAGGGGGGCAGGGACCCCAGTTTCCCCCGTTGGCGTTTATGATGGGGGGCGGTCCCCCGAGTCCGGCGAGATCGCAGGCGTCGTCGGCCGGAAGCAGCAACGGCGCAGAATCTCCGGACGAAAATAGCCAAAATCAGTTCTTTGGACATTTCGACAACGGCCAGTTTATTAGCGGAATGGACGTTCCTATAGACAAAGATAACCCTAGGAAGTGTACCGCATGCGGGAAGATTTTCCAAAACCACTTCGGCGTGAAAACGCATTACCAAAACGTGCATTTGAAGTTGATGCATAAATGCAACGTCGACGGATGCAACGCTGCTTTTCCTTCGAAACGAAGTAGGGATAGACATAGTGCAAATTTAAATTTACATAGAAAATTATTATCTACCTCTTCAGATAAGTCGGCAGCTAGTTTGTTTTTGGACAAGTCGCCTTTCGCTCTACACGGTGACTTTTTGACGAGGCTTTACGCAGAAGAAGCTTTGAAGAACCACCACTTACCTCCTCCGAATTTGGATCAGTTGATGCTCAACGGCGACAGAATACCGCACCCTCCTCTTCTGTTGCCTCCTTTAGGCGGCATTCCTTTTCCTTTGGGCAATTTCAACCACTTTACTCAGTTCAACGGATCTTCGGTGATGACGCAGAAGGAGAGGTCTTCGCGATCGAACTCGCCGGTTTCCGGATCGCCTCCTCCCTCAAACGCGTCACCCTTTTCTTTAAAATACACACACTGTGTCGAAGAAGATCAACCAACTCTCGATAAAGATGGAAATCTTCCTTGTCGGCTGTGCAGAACTCCCTTTCCTACTTCCTCACAACTTAAAGAACACTGCGAGACCAACCATTTATCGGAGATGTTCAAATGCACGGTAATGGGGTGCAACAAAGTATTTATGAGTAAGACACGGCGGAATTTGCATTCGGAGAACGAATCTCTCCACGCGAATTTAAGGAAGAGTGCAGAGGGTTCGTGACCGTTAGGTAATTTTTTTGACTTGAGAACTGTACCGTTGTGGTGGTGATCAACTGACGAAGTACTTATCAAATTTTAGGTGGTTTCTTATATGTGATTATTAGAATAATTAGTTTATTGTTAAGAGCCAGCTTTTATAATTTATTTTTTTTACTTGATGATTTTCAACTTCCTAAATCAGCCAGTCTTGAGAAATACTCATTGTATATAAAAAAATATTGTAGATTTAGGTGATCTCTCGTAACTTGTTATAGAAAACGCTATTCATGTGAATATTTCAATTGCTCATTTTTATAATACTACACAAGTATACTGGTTGTCCAAATTTTTCCTTGATAATTACAAACTGATTGGCTACGTATGTACTTAAAGCTTCCTTGTTTGGACAATTCGCTATACTTGACTCACTGTTGATGCATGCAAATGAATATTCACTCTACCAGTGACAATTTCAATCAAACGTGTATATTTAAATGTGCAATAACTTTGTAAATATGCTATCTTGCCTATAAATGTATAGATGTATATATTTACTATCATTAAATAGTGAAAATTATTTGCCCTAGAATATCATCAATGTATACGAAAAAAAAAACTGTGTCGGCATTAAATTTCTTTCCGCACCTTCAATGAAAAATCTCCAAATTTTCTTTCGTTAGCTGCAATTTAGATCCCCGTACTTTTTCATTGAAGGGTGACCGTTACAACCCAAATTAATGTTATATTTGTAATATCTTAAACAGCACACCTCTGTAAATGTTATTTGTTATTGCATATTCACACTCCAGTGTACAGTAACCATTATGTATCGCCTATGGGCTTCATTAAACTTATAGCTGTCGTACCCTCTCTTTACTTTAACAACCCCATCATCCAAAAAATAATAACAATAAGTAAACAAGCAAACAAGGTTATTCGACAGACTAGACTTAAATTATCATAAAGTATGGCCAAACAAACAATTACATAACGCAAACAGTAAAGATAGCGCCGGTTCCTCTTTGTCATATTTATAATCACCGTACACCGTGTCACAATTATAAACGACTTCGAAAAAAAAAATCTCAAAATTTTAGCTAAACAACGAACTATAACGATCGTCGAATACGATGATATAAAACGTTTGATTATTGTTTGACGAGATTTGATAAGTGACATGCGAAAATTGTGAAAACTAGAAGAGTTGAAATTGTTTGAGAATAGGTAGCGCCATCTGTCGGTGATCGATCGAAACAGTTTGCAGCGCTGTACCCGACTTCATTTGCAGCATAAAAAACGTTAAGTTACAATCTCAAGTGCACTTCTTATTTTGTCGAAATTTTGTTCGGATACATTTAAAAAAAAGTCGCACATGAATTATTCATTATTCGCGGCTCACCGCTTCGTCGCATTTTTGCTTTTGATTTGAATTTTTATTGCTTCGAATTTAGCAAGACATGCGTGATTAGTAGGCGATTTGATGTAGTTTTTTTTTTATGAGATGAGAATATTCTGAAAGCCATACAACGTGTGACACGCTAATAACACGGTATGACCAGCGGCTTTGGGTTTGACATGGGTCAACAGATCTTTCTTGGAATATAGCAATTAAGAATTTGTTAAATTATATGTAATTTTGAAGCTGGTTTTTAAAATTAATCGTGAATTAATCACAAATGTTTACAGTTCTATTGCAATTTTCATTGTGGTTCATTTCTATCATTATTTAGCAATTACTATGTTTAGGATAATGTGTTAAATTTGTATAAGTAATGTGTCGTGTTGGGAGAGTTAATTACGCTGCGCACTTTTTTAAAAAATGCCATCTTCGTAACGCTAATGCCACCGGACCCGCCCGATTTGCATGCAACGGACTTGATGGTTTTTTCTTATTAATTAGTGGCAAACGGCATCAAAAAGTTCAATTGACTTAATTCCATGTTGCAGGGGGTTCGGAAGGAGTGTGTATGGGAACCGCGGCAGAACCAAGTCAGACTGGAAAAATCAACACCGTTATTTAGAATAATAATAGATCATTTGCAGATTCTGAAATATAATTAATGTTCGAGGCTACATGCGTAAAATTTGCAAATTGTTCGCAATTTTACAACACATCATTTGCATTTTGTTGAATGGACGTCTAAAATTTCTTAGTTTTAAATCAAATTGCCGGGTACCTCCGAATTTGCAAACTAAATTATGTATTGATATATAGACGAACGCCAAAATTTCAAATGATCGCACCCTAATTAGTGCTGCCTTCAATCGGATCACATGCACTAACCGATTTTTCGTTCTTTTGGAACGAGGAGTGATTCTCCTTGTTTCGTTTTGACATCGAACGGGACAGAATCGCTTATCGTCGAGCATTATCAAGTTTGAAAATTATAGATCTGATAGTCTGGTGTAGAACCGATAAGCTATTATTAAGTCGAGACGATTATCGTCGATCGGGGACAATCCGATAAGCTGTGATTTTAAAATCTTAAGGACCGCGTTGATAAGCGACGAGTGATGTTGGTAGTGTGTGCATTGCATTGCTTAACGCTATTACGGCCTGCGGTAAGTGACCGTGCCTTCCTCGCACATTTGAAACATCTCCTAATATTATGCTCGTGAGTGAAACATTTTCTCCACTTACTATCCAATTTACCTAAGGCATGTGCACTTTCATATGCATCAAGCTTTATTTCTGCGATCATATTGCCATTATTACTTCTCGTTTTTCTTTCTTTCTTTACACATTCCAGTTCTTCCGTTAGTAACTGCCTCTTCGGCGTGACCACCAGCTCGATTTAATTCCTGATTGATATAACAAATGCGCTAATTTCTTCAACACAAAGCTTAGCCACTTTTCGGTCATTTTTCCAGGACGAATCACACACCTGCAATTGAACATGAGCAAATCATTCGTGATCGTTGGCTCACTGTTGCATTGTCGTGATAAAACCGCTCGTAATGTTCAATTAGTCATTTAATTTAATATGCATGATACTAGAAAGTAATTTCAGTAATTGTATAAATCACATCATTTTTACGCGACTGAATACCTTCCAATCCTTGCTCGTAATTATCGATAATCAACCGCAATCGTAAGAATTTTACGCTCGTTTTTTACGTAGTAACAAAGCGACTTTGTAGATGTCCAATTAATTTCATCGGAGGTAATATTGGAAATAGCGACCGCGTTAATGATGACCATTAACGGGAGCAGCTGCTCCGGAAGTCTCCTGGACTAAACCCCACGCGATTTGTGCATGTTACCATTTGTTCGATTGAAGATAACGTCCTTTAAACCACCACTCACGATACCACCGTAATCGAAAATGTACACAATTTTCCGCTCAGATCCCGTAACGCTCCACGATCGCGTCCAAAAATTACCGAGCCCGACCTCGATGGAGCTGCCAAGCTCATGTGACGGACATGCGACATCGAAAGGCGCGTCAGATTCGAAAAACTCGACCTCTTGGAATCAAAACGCACTCGTACGATTGATACGCACGTACGCGTTCGTGTAGTTTTCCGTGACCACCCTCGCACGCTCTGTCCGGCTCTCCCCTACTCGAAAATGTGATCGGCGCGATAAAACGTTTAGCCAGAGGCTCAAAGACATGCTTGTCGCAATTTATTTCACCCAACCAAAAATAATTACTCGAAACGTGATAAATAATAACGATAACATCGTCATTTGGACTTGTCAACAATTGTCGACGTGATATATGGCTTTTTATTATAAGCGCGCATGAAATTACCCGAGCGAAAAATTTTGTTGTTACTCTTAATTAAATAAGTGAGCTTGTTGTGACCCCATGTGTTAAATCGTGACGGGCGGCGCTTGACATTCTGTCGGAAATGACACCAACTTACGAAGAAATACTTCTGACAACTTAACGACTGCCTGCTAGCTAAATACACGGTTTGTATTCGTATAAGGGGAAATGCCATATTTTCCTCGTAGTTGTTTATTGGATTCTAATTAAGTAAAGAACTAGCGAAGCCATTCTCAAAAAGAAACGAAAAACCAAAGACGGTTCCAGCTAAACAAATTTTTAACGGATTTTTAAAATAGGAGGATAAATATTTCTAAGAAGGCAGGTTATCAGATAGTATAAAATACTAACTGATATCGACAGACTCATGCAGACTCATAGTCGTAATATATTTGCACACAAAATTTTAATTATTGTAAAATGCTGTTATAAAATTTTGATTTTTTTCAAAAACTCTGGATAAAAATAATAAAGACTGATTCGCAAACTAGGAGTAAAGAAGTGTCTTACTTTAATTTAATATTATAAAATTTTGAAAATGGCTCATCAAATTGTTGCTCACAATGATCAAAGTTTGGTTTAGCGTTTTTCATATTCTATTCTATGACAATACTTCCTTAGCTTAGCTTCCCTAGGTATGAAAATACCTAGCATTCATTTTCGATTCATGAGCAAACTTTTACACAAATGAAAATATTGTCTATTTCTTATGACTGGACTGTTAAGAAAAGTTTTCACTGTATACTTGACGTTAGTCGAAAAAATTGATCTAAAGTTATTTCGACAGAACTTCCCTCGCTCCTGATGTACATATACAGGATTTTCGAGTAGAGTTTTTTCTTTACACAATTTTGTGATGACTCATCAACATTTTTTCAAGGACACGTATATCACCTTGGATTGGTGCAGTATAATACTAAAAATAACAGTATTGTGTTCATAAAATTTTCTGGCAAAATGGAGTGAACCGTTCCTGATTTAATCAATAAAATAAATTGACTCATTCATTAATTTTTTTGAGCAAATATAAAAAATATAAATGCGGTGGGTACCTGTACCTGTTTAGATCGGTGCCTAATAGATTCATTCGCATTCCTGCTAGCGTGTTGACCAGTTCACTTAAGTTTATGTTTCCGTGTGTTATTGTTTGCGATTAAAAAAAATTAATTAAAAAATCAACCCCTTCTGAAGTGTGCATTTTACGGTCGGTACTGACTGACAGTCCGTTGTCAGATTGTGATGACTCACGATGTTGAACTTAAAATAATCCATCTCTAAGAACACTTGTCCTTCAACACTAGGTAATAACAATCTGACGCTCAAGTGCTTATTTATGTTTATACATCGAAAGAATGTCACGCACAAATTAGTCTGGTTTGAATGAGTTTGTCTTCTCAAAACACAGGACTAAAATTATTAATTTAAACCACAATCGAACAAAATGTTCTGAATACATATTACAATTCTTAGTTTATCCTTATTATATAAATACGTGCGTATTCTTCACATTTTCGAGAAAATGGGATGACTCTTTCTTCATTTGACCAATAAAAATATTGTGACGACGTCATCAACATGGACAATACTAGTCACAGCACAAAAGAAAAGTAGTCACAGCGTATCACCAGTGCAAAAACAAAAACATGGCTATTACCTTGAATTGGTGCAGTGTAATACTAAAAATAACAATATTGTATTCCCAAAATTTTCTGGGAAAATGGAGTGAGACGTTCCAGATTTAATCAACAATAGAAATTTACTCATTCATTAATTTTTTTGAGCCACTTGTTTAAAGAAATCTAAAAAATATGAATGCATTAATAAATCACAAGTAAAACTCATCATATTTTGCACATTTTGGGTAGAATTTATGCGGCAAAATTTTAAAATGACGTCATCAGTTTTTTGGGGTTGATAAACAGATACATGTTACTTCAAAATTTACCATGCTTACAGTAACTTCACACGGTCTGCAAGATTTCAAAGTATTCAATTTTGCAATTCTTGATTTAATCAAGAAAATAAATTGACTGTCATTAATTTTTTTGAGACACTGTATAAACGAATCTAAAAAATATTAATACAGTGATAAATCACAAGTATAGTTTCATCATATTTTGTACATTTAAGACAGGATTTACTTTGCAATATTTTGAGGTGACGTCATCAATTTTTAGGAGGGGGGAGCAAATACATTTTGAACGAAAGTTTACCATGATTATGATAACTCTAGAATATCTCCAAGACTCTTATTAAAGCATTCGGTTTTGCAGTTCCTAATTAAATCGATAAAATAAATTCAAGCATTCAAGTATAGACTCATCATATTTTGCACATTTTAGATTGGATTTATTCGGCAAAATTTTGAGCTGACGTTGTCAATTTTTTGGAGGGGATAAGTAAATATATTTTGATTAAAAATTTATCATGCTTATCATAACTTTAAAATATCTGCAAGATTTCAAAGCATTCGGTTTTCCAAATTCAAAATTAAATTGCAAAATGTGTTTTTATAATTTTGATTTTTTCCAAAAATCTGGACTATGTTATTTTATACAATTTAAAACCCATTTACTATGTACAATTTTGAAGTGACGTGATCACATTATTGGTGGGGATGATTAGACAAATTTTGGTAAGCGTTTTACCATCTACATGATCATGATATTCCTAATGTAAATACAAAATTTGACAAAAATCGGTCCAGTAATTTCGGAGGTTACATGTCCAATATACATGGATACAGACAGACAAACAGACGGACGGAAACGGGAGACTACTTTTTTCGTACTGTAGGGGTCATGTAACGTCGAGAAAATATAAAAGTGGCCATTCATCTGATGGACTCGATTACTATACTTTAGCTTACCCTCGGGAAGTTCACTTATTTTAAATCTAAACATCAATAGAATAAAAGCATAATCATCAATAAACTCAAACTGAGAAATTTGTGGAACGAGCTGAAAACGAATGGTGCAATTAAAGCTAGCGAGAAATTCGACTTTTTCAAGTTTTTTTTTTTCGTGACATCAAGGAGTCACAAATGCGTCACTTTGACATGTCTAATCAAACAATATAGGAATAATAAACATAATTTTTTAATTTATTACATCGTTAAACAGCGTGCGGGGCATGAGATAAGACAGTTACAAATAAAATTTATGGCATGTACAAAACTTCTGTTATTTTGCACAAGACCTGTATATTTTAGAGATGCGTTTTAATGGTATGTGTTTATAATTGGTGTTTGGGTAATAATAACATAACGAGCAGAAAACGTAGTTTTAAAAATTGAAACAAATGACATTTAATAAATGATGCAGTTGGTCGTAGCAGGGCAAATTGTTAATTGCCTAAGTTGTGGAAGATTAGGCCGGCGTGGAAGGGTATAATTAGTCGCTATCAGTCTGCTGTGTTTAAGTAAAGGTGAGAGTTTTTTATGGAAGAGTTAGGCGGCCTTCGCAAAGAGACCCTGTAAATAATGAGGCTACGCGACTTACCACAGGGGGTATTCGAGACTTTACCCCAGGAGGGCGTATTCATTTCCAATCACCACTGGATACTGTTTTAATTTTCTATGAAGAAATATATTGTTTTACAATACTGAAACGAGCTAATCTAAATATCGCCGGTTTTCAGCGCGCTTTCCGTCACGACGCGAAAAAGTCCGTTGTCCGTCAAACGCGAGATTATCCGTGAAGTTTTGATTTGCATTTTATTGATAAATCTCAACGAAGATGCGGAAAAGCGTTGCATGTAAACTGACAGTTTACATTAGGATTTGTACGG